CTAGAAACTTTCAGATGGGTTACAATGAACCAAGATTTAATCCATCATTCAACTTTTTAGTAGTAATGATATTCTATAAAAAAGTAATGAAAGACTGCTTACAAAACATCACAGAAAATTGTTTTCCATCGAGAGTTTTATACTGAGTGAAATCAAATTATTTTCAGACATTTGAGTCTCACAATGTCTCAAAAATGTATTCACAACTACAAGTACCAAAAGGAAATTATTTGGCAATAGAAAGAAAATGAACAACGTAACTAAACCCTGATAATATTTAGTAAAAAAATTAGTAATATGAATTTTTGAATCATGGTATAAGATAATTAAGACTTCACCAGTCATCAAAGATAGCCAATAGATGCTGTCTAAAATTCATCAATGAAGAAATAGTAGTGTATTCAAATATGACCTATAATTACAGCATTCTGGGAAGCAGAGGCAGGAGAACATTAAGTTTAAGCCAACTTAGGATAACTTGGCAACTTAGCTTTTAAAAAATCCCCAGAAACAGAAAGGTGGGGGAAATGTATGACATGGAGAAGTAAACTAGAAGCAACAAGTAAATAAAAGATAAAAGGAGTAAAATAAAGAACTGTTGTTTTTCACTGGGTTTTCAACTCTGTCATACATTTTAAAATTAAATGTACAGATTACCTTGACCAAAAATAAACAAAAGGCAACATTTTCTTGTTATAGAATGAGTAGTAGGTTATAGTAAAATAAGAATAGAAATAGGTAGCTATTTTGGTGGTCCATGTAAGAGATAATACTAGCTTGGATCAAAGTGGTAGTGGTGGGGAGAAATAGAATAAACACACTTAGAGTATGCAATGAAACTGGTATCATTTACTAAGGTCTTGGTTGTGAGGTGCGAAGGAAAGAGAATCATCAAGTAGAATTAGGGTATTAAATGGTGGCACCACATGTTAAGGTTTTTAAGAAGCCTAAACAAACACTGTGGATGAAATCATCAACCAAGATTTTTGATTTATAAATTTTGTTTGCCATTCCCGTCTAAGGAATGTTAGGGAAGCAGTTTGATTTTGTGATGGATGTAATTGTGTCTCCTTCTGCCTCTAGAAACCAAGTTGAAGACCTATCTCCCTATAATTATGAATGTGAACTGATTTGGAGATGGGATCTTTAGAGATAATCAATTAAAATGAGGTTATTAGAGGGGCCAGGGATTTAGCTCAGCGGTTTGGTGGCCTGCCTTGCAAGCGCAAGGACCCGAGTTCAATCCCTGGTACAAAAAAAAAAAAAAAAAAAAGAGGTTATTAGGAGAACCTGAGTTCAATGTAGATATGTTCTTAAAAAAAAAAAAAGTGAAATTTGGACACAGACAGAAACAAATAGAGGAAAGAAGATGTAAAGACACAGGGAAAATGGCATCTACAAACCAAGGAATGTTGGAAGCCACCAGAAGCTGCAACAGACAAATGGAAGAGATTTTCCAGCACAGCCCTCAGAAGGAACAGCCATGCCATTACTTTAATTATTTCTGGCCTCCGGGACTGTGTAATAACAAATTTCTGTTATTTAAGCATATTCATCTGTAGCACTTTGTTACTAAAGCTCTGGGAAACTAAGTAATATGGACGAACATGTGCCTTGGAGATTTGGGAAGAGGAATTAGGCGGACACATGTTTTGGAATCTTGTGCATGTTAGTGGCATTTAGAGACATGTGAATGAAGGAAATCACCTTAGTAGTTTGTAAAGACCGAGAAGGGGATAGGGTTCTCGGATCTGGATTGAAACCAGGGTGCTTCCATTTCTAGAGATTTCTACAGAGAAAGGAGACCTCCCCCCACCAGGGACAGAATACATGATTAATGGGGTAGAAATAGACCAGGAGAGTGTGGTTTCATGGACATTTGTTAAAAATGAGAATCAAGACCTGTCATGTAGACTTGCAAGTTCCCAACAATGAATTTAACTGTACTGTATCCCTAAAATGTACCAATAAACTCAATTAAAGCTGGAAAAGAAACATTGTTAAAAAACAAAAAACAAACAAACAAAAAAAAGCTACTGGGATGATAACCAACACGAAGACAAAAGGATGGTTGCTTTTAGAAATTGTTGACTTGAAAATACTACTCTTTTCTAGTAAAAGAGGGTAGGGATAAAATTGGAGCTGAGGAAGTGAGGATGATAAGGAAATAATGCACAGCAGGGCAAACCTTTGTCTGTTACCAAGCCCCTCTCCCCGTGTTTTTGCCTTAGGATGTTCTGTTTTAGTAATATACTTGTACTGCATCGCGTTCCTACCCAATGTATCACAACATTCTGCTCAGTGTAAAAGTGCTGCACGACGCTTGTACCTAAGGTTTCAGGCATGTTCTGTTAACTCCACCCATCTGCCTCAATGAGCATGCTCACCTGGTAGGTGGGCCCACTCTCCCACCCCCAAAATCTCTAGGTAAGGCTGCTTGCATTGCTATTCCAGGCTCAGATTTCACATTTCTGAGTCCACCGGTGTAAGAAAGATTCCCTTCATCTCTTTGAGGGCTGCTTGACTTCTTTGCTGCCAGAGATATTCAGATAGCTGTAACCCTTGGCTGTAACACAGAGCTGTAACACTTGGCTGTAAGGCTGAACTGTCACACTTTGCTGTAACAAGGACAAACTCTCATTGGGTGAGTTACTGTGAAGGAGGTCAGAGGCAGAAGTATGGCTAGAGGTACACATGGATCCAAGTAAAAGATGGGGAGCAATAGCATTGCATATATCTTCCTAGTAGATGTTAGGTGGCAGGGGTAGTTGAAGAGAAGTCCTAAGTGAGCCAAAAAGCTTAATATATAAAGGGATGTGAGTAATAAAATGTAGGAGAAAAAGTGAGTGTTTAATCTGTAATGTGTCAAGGGAATGGGGTTTTTGGTGGAGGAAGGAAAAGAAATGTCTTTAAAATAGTAGTGCTGTCCCATTTGACTCCACTATTCCACCACTGGGTATCTTCCCAAAAGAATTAAAACAACCATACCACAGTGATATACGTGCACTTATGTTTATAGTGACACAGTTTGTAAGAGCTAAAAATTGGAAACAGCCCAAATTCCCATCAACTGGAGACGGGATGAAGAAGATTTTTTGTTGCTGTTGTTTTTAAAAATAAAATGGAGTACTACTCAGCCATAAAGAATGAGAATCTAGAGACATTTATGACTAAATGGATACACACTGAGGCAGGCCATACTCTTAAGTGAAATAAATAGGACACGTGTGCAAATACCAAATAGTTTCTCTGATGTGAGAAACTGAAAGTGTAAATGAGGACCAAAATGTATAATAGATAATGTGAAATAGGCAGAAAAGGACCAAAATAGGAAGGGAGTGGGGAGTCTAGAAAAAAAATGAGAAAAGAAGGGAAAAAAAACTGAAACAAAGTTTTTGTAAATAGGGAGGGGAAGGGGAATGGGGAGAAACAGGAACCCAGATATGTCATGTACAGGTACAAATTCCCAGTGATGAATGTGACCATAATATATACCTAAAATGTACCAATAAACTTAATGAATAAAGAAAAAATATACAAATAAAATGGTAGCGCTCCTCAAGCTCGGGCTGCTATTCATAGAGATGTATGAGGACAAAAAAACCCTCCCTCTGAGAAGGCTGAAACATACTGCAGGCACCACTGTGATCTGAGGGCAGAAACTCCTCACTTGCACTGGCCACTTGTAGCAGCACTGTACGTTTGACATACAATTATTTCTTCATTTGTACTTACAGGTATTTCCCCAGGCATATTGAATTTTGCTCTTTAAAAAGGTTCTCCAGATTATATACATCACAGGACATCCAGCACCTTGTTTGGAGGATTAAGTGGGGTGGGAATGGAGACAGTTGTAGTTTCTTGAAGAGAGTAAAGAACAACTTAGACAAAAGGTCAACCAAACAGAGAATTTCCTGGTGAGATTCAGAGACCCTAGTAGGAAGATAAAAGGAATCAACTTTTCAGGGATATACAGGTTACTGTCTATAAAAGAAAAGTAGAACACAGATCTCCAAGGCTTTTCTTTGACTTTCTGCAAGAAAGTTCTATTTTATAGCAAGGCAGCAAGATGTGGCTCCTCTGTGCTTTGCCCTGAGAACAGGACTTGCTTTAGTCCAGAGGTTGATGGCTTGATACAAAAAGGTAAACGTCAGAAGTAAACCATTGACAGCTTCATGTCTTGGTGTAGCACAAATTTCTTGAAATAGTGCAGAAATAGTACTAGTCTAAAGGGGAATACAATAGATTTACATTTAAATTAGTACTCATTCATCAAAAGGCACTCTTGTGAAAGTAAAAACTCAAGTCACAGATTAGAAGAAGACATACTTGCAATATCATACTAACAAAGGGCCTGTAAGGAGGACATAAAAACTGCAGTCAATATGCCTTGTGTTGGGTTTCATTTCTTGTTTTATCTTACATATTTGTTTCTACTTTATTACTGCGTTTCTGCTGTTTTTTTTAAAAGATAGGATCATATTACACATGTTGGCTTGCACCCTTTTTAACCCCCACTTCTATTTAGTTGTATATTACAAACAACTTTCAGAACTACTCTGTGAGGCACAAATGAAGTCATTTGTTTCGCCCGTTTCTCGGGTCCCACAGCAGTGAAGGGACTTTCATTGTTGTGTAACTGGGCAACACAGGGGGAGCTCTGTGTCCGGATCCCTTCCGCTCTGCTCTCCAGAGAGAAGATCTTACAGAGAGGCTCTGTGATAGTCCTTTGCTCTCTCCCTTTCGTAGCAGAGCGGAGCAGCCAGGTGCTACAGCCAAGTGTTACAGCTCGGAGGCCTAGCTGACTGAGTGTTCCACTTCAGTGTCGTAGCTAAGTGCCCCAGCTCAGAAGGTACAGCTTAGCTTTACAGATCAGTGTGGCAGCTCTGGGTCACAGCTCTCCCAGTTTGAAGACTTGAGAATCCGATGGTCACTCAGAGAGAGGTGGAGAAAATCCTTTATTACATCGGTGGGTAAGAAAAATCTTTATGACATCATACTGGGAGTCTGAACAATGTATCAGAACCGAGCCGCTCCTGACATGGGGATACACACAGTAGGTGAGCATGCTCACTGAAGCGGAGGGGCGGAGTTACAGAGCATTCCGGAAGCAGAGAGGCCGATGTGCAGAACATTCCTGCAGGGCGTAGCAGGTGAGCGTGCTCCCAGAAGCAAGGAGGTTGACTTACAGAACATTACTGGAAAGATCACATAGTTCAAATAGTCACAGAACATTTTGATACATTGGGCTGGAGTTCTGCAGCCCAGTAGCACAAACTGTTAAATTTCTGAAACAAAACATTTGGCGGGTGGGTGGGGGCGTGACATGGAGGCCAGGCAAGGGAAAGGAAAGGGCCGATCTTACTGTGCAGTATTTCTCTATCAGCCCCATGTTGAATTTAGATGGGTGCCTGCTTCTTTTATAAGAAATATTTGTGCAAGTGGATTGCATGGTTTCTCTCACTAGTTCACCTTTTTTAGGGGGTATCCAGATTCATGTAGGGTTGAAATTTTGATGAATTATATTCTCTTTATCCCCAGGATAAAAAAGAAAAACTCTTCAGGAGCAAGAAGGAAAAGAAACATTCACTGCTAAGAAGGTTCAGGTTGCAAACTTCTTTTGCTTATTTATTGAGGTTAAAAGTTAAACTGGATTAGGACAATCATATTTTTCTGACACATTAACTTGCTTCTTAAGAAAACATATTTAGCTTTTTTCATGAGTCATTTCAGTAGAAAAGTCAGGAGTTAAGCTCTGGTGCTGAGTAAAAACTCTGAAGGCCCCTTTGTGAGGGACTTAGCTAACTGCATGTATTTATTTGCCCCCCCCAGTTAAATTTTTACTTAAATATTTGTACATGGAACAGGAGGAGAGGCATTTAGGCTCATTTTCATGATTTTCCACGGATAAAATTAGCACCAAATTTATGGGCTTATGACATTGTTCTCCAGGCTGTGGTCTGGAAGGTTTTCTATGGTTGTCACCATTCCCTTCTTTCCCAATCCCCTCCAGTTACTCTTTCTCCTGGTTTTCTAGAACTGGCCTACTTTGCTCTGGTGAGTGAGAAGAAACTGGGCCGAGGGGGAAAAAAAAATCAAGAGGCACCAACCTGACACACAATGGCAACAATATGAGGTGGAGAAAGTCCCCCTCCAAGGCTAAGGGTATTGCTCGGTAGTAGAGAGCTTGCCTGGCATGTGTGAGGCCCTCAGTTAATCCCCAGCACAGAAGGAAAAAAAAAGTAAGTCTCCCTTCCAAATGAATTTCCTGTCCATGAAGTGATTTTATATCATGACATAGGTGTCACCTAATTTGGAATTGCTTTTCTCTTTACAGAGACACATAGCTCCTCCATCTGCAGAAATTTCCCATCATCATTGTCTTAAGAGTTTCAGGAACAGTGCACACTGTCTGTTAAGATTTTCTTTAATGTATATAAATGACTGTTTTCTGAACAGAGAAATACATTTTGCATCTACCTACGTGAAAATTAGAAATTACCATGACATTTCCCCCTTCCTAATGGGAAAATTAAAGAATGTTTTCATTCTAATTGTTAACAATTTAGAAGATATAGACACATATAAAAGAGAAAATAAATATACCCAATAGGCTGGGGATTTAGTTCAGTGGTTCCAGCGCCTCTCTCGCAAGCACAAGGACCCAAGTTTGATTCCCTGTACCAAAACAAAACAAAACAAAACAAAAACTAATAAGTCCATCACTGAAAGATGATTGTTGTATATCTTTCTTTAAAAAGCAGGGAATATTTTTGGTTTTTTGAGACAGGGCCTTGCGTAGTTGAGACTGACCTGGAACTCACTAGGTAGCCCAGGCTGGTCTTGAACTCACAGCGATCCTCCTGTTTCAACCTCCCAAGTGCTGGGATTACAGGTGTGCGCCACTACACCTGTCATAATGTGATAATTAACTAGTTTTTTCAAGTATATATATATGCGTGTATATATATATATATATATATGTATATACACTTTTTATATGTCACTAAATATGTTTGCATCCTTAATGAACAAAGACTTCTATATATATAAAAATGCACTCTTTATATAATTAATTTAGTATTGATAATTTTCACCAAGCGGTGAATATCCTGAGGGTAAATATCTTTGTCATATCTTGTGCTGACCTCCAGTCCATTCCTAAGGAGTAATCCTTAGCACAGAAATTTTCCTATCAAATAATTTAAGCACTGCTGAAACTTTTAATACATATTACTATATTTTTCTCCAGGAAGACCTTAACAACTTACATTCAGCAACACTGTGTGAGAGTGACTTGTCTCACTCTTCCTTGTAGTACAGGTATTATTACTCTCAAAATCCTTTTTCAACCTACTAAGGGAAAATACCCTACCCTATTTTCAATATTAATTTAAGTTTATTTGATTACTGATGAGGTTGAATATCTTTTCATATTGGTAAATTTTATAATATAAACTCTTTTTCTTAAACCTTTGTCTTTCCCCTTTCCTTTTCTTCTTTCCTTTTCTTTTTGCAGCACTCAGGATTGAACCCCGGGCTTTAGGTGTGCTGGGCAAACACTCTACCACTGAGTTGCACCCCCCAGTCTTCCTTTGCCCATTTTTCCTATGGGAGATTTTTTTTTTAATGACTCGTGAAAAACTAAATATAAAAATACCATTTGGTACCATTCTGGGTATATTTCCAAAAGAATTAAAGACAGCATATGATAGCAATGCACAAATACTCATGTTTACAACAGCGTGATTCATGATAGTTAAGCTGTGAAAACAGCTCATCAACAGGTAAATGGATAAAGAAACAATTCGGCCATAAAGAAGAATGAAATTATGTCATTTAGAAGGAAGTGGATAGAACTAGAGGCCATTTAGGCTAAGTAGAGTGAACCAGACTCAGAAAGTTAAATTATCACATGGTTTCTCTTATTTGAGAAAGTTAAAAGATTAATAAATAAGCACACAAACAAAAAGAATAGATAAAAAAAATAGGGGGAAAATGACAGGGAACTAATGGGTAAACTTTTTGAGGGGGAGGGGATTAGCAGGGTAAGGAAAATAATAGGATGCAAAGTGATCAAAATATGTTAAATGTTGTATACATCTCCCAAAATGAGCCTCATCGTTCTGTATTATAAAATGTCATAATGAAAAAAACCCACAAGAGCTTATGCAGAATTAAGAGTATTAGCCCTTTGGCCATCGTGTATTTCATACCAACTTTCTAGACTTTATTTAGAGTGGGGGTTTTCCTATAGAAGATTTCATTCTTATGTAGAGAAGTCTAAAAATCCTTTCCATAGTGACTTCCTTCTTTGGATGAAATGCTCAGAAAGGCCCTCCAAAGTCATCTTTAAAGGTAGGCACAAGCCTCTTGGATACTCAATAATAGAAAACATTAGTAGACTAAGGAGAAAAGGTCTCTGGATTACTAGAGAGCTTCCAGCTGAAGATTATTTAAACAGAAATGACAGTTTTTATTCATGAAAATTTATTTATGACAAGTCTATGAAGTAAACATATCTATGATTCACAATTATTTTATGACCACAATTTCCTAGGACCCATGAGACTTAAAACAATCTTCATTCTAGTATTTGTCATTCACAGCCATCTGTGACAAGATATTCATTCTGTTTTTCTTAGTGGGTAATAAGTTCAGTCGATTAAATAAGTAAATAGTATAAAAAGCCCAATGATTGAAGCTCTCATTAAAATGATATAGTGACATCATAACAAAGTAATATATTTATACTTCATAAACTAAAAATGTTTAAATTAACTTCATTATTTCCATAACTTACCTGGGCTACAATAGTAATAGATTTGAACTTCATAAACTAGAATTAAATCAGGAATTTTGCTTTTTCATTGGTAGAAAGCAAAATGCAAATTTCTGTCTCTCTCTTGGAAATATTATAAATTGTACAAGTCCTCTTCCGAGGGAGAAGGAAGGGAGCAATGTGATGGGAGACAAGAGAAAGTCTAGACACTGGTTATTGTTCATTTCACATTATTCTTTAATTCCATGAAATGAATTCATCTCAGAATAAAGAATATCAGAATCAGATGTTCAAAATGAGTTAAATGATGAACTCTCAGGGTGGGGGAGGCATAATATTTAGAAACTAAAAATGACTTCATAGTCAACCAAAATAAGTTGTTTGTGTTACAGTTTTTTTTTTTCCTGGTACCGGGGATTGAACTTGGGTCCTTACACTTGCGAAGCAGGCGCCAGAACCACTGAGCTAAATCCCCAGCCCTGTCTTAACAATTTTGAAAGGAGTTTCCAAAGCGTGCAAGGCATGGCACAGACACACTCGGTGCCCGTGTTCTCCATACTGCACTGGCACCAGTGACCCAGCCTCTCAGTAACTCTATGCACCAGGGACCCTGCTCATCCGTGGCCCTGACATGGGTTTCCATGTACTTTGGGTTTTCTCTAAATCTTTTTCTCCTGCTTTGTTTATTCATTTGGCTATATTATGGCCTATTTGCTATATTATGCCTGCTTTTGGTAGCTGTAACAGAACACATGAGAGTAAACAATTTAAAGGAGGAAATATTTGTTTTTGCTCAAGATTTCAGGGGTTTCAGTCCATGGTTGCTTGGTCTAGTGGGTTTTGGACAGGTAGTGAGAATGGAAGTAGGCGTTCAAGGAAAATTCCACCAGTCATGGTAAGCAAAAGGCAAAGAGAAAGGGGAAAATGGGGTGGGATAGAGAGGGAGGGGCTGGGTTCCCAATTTGCCCTTTAAGGCACCTATTTCCTCTGCCTGGATCCCGTCTCTTGAAGTTTTCATCACTTTCCAATAGCGCCACCAGCTGGGAACAAAGCCCGCAACACACAAATCTTTGGGGGATATTTCAGATCCAAACCATAAGATGACCCATTTATAAAATCTTAACTTGAAAACTTTCAATGAAAATATTTCACATCAGGTGGCAATCTATGTAATGTACTCAGATTGCATGTAAAATATTCATTATCTCCGTTGCATTGCATCTAAACTGTGTTCACAGGACAAGGTAAATGTAAAATGCTTTGTGTAGGTAGAGTGGCTGCTATATTTATTGTCCAAGCCAGTATACTTTGAAAGTGAAGGGATGGTAAAATCTACTACTTAATTACACCAGAAAAACAGGATACTCTGTAAGTGCCCAAGCAAATCAGGTCATAAGATCACACTGTTTAAGAGAAAGATTTTAAACTATCAGGTAGGGATATTATCCTAATTAAATGTAAATGTTTTGAGATTGTTTATTTAGATAGATCCCTTTTAAATGCTCTGCTATCTCAAAGAAGTAGGGGATCACAGATGCTATATCTAATTCTTTGATCTGACTTTCTCTCAATTAGTTGAAGACTAGCTAAGGCGAAATCTCTCTCTCCCCGCTTTTCTCACCCTCTCTCTCTCCCTCTCCCTCTCCCTCTCCCTCTCCCTCTCCCTTGCCCTCTCCCTCCCCTACTCTCTCCATAAGATTCAGGAATGGATAGCTAAAGAAAATCATCGAGTATTCATAAGAATATACCTCTTTTTGGCGAGGCTTTTTAAGACCTGTATTTTAAATAAATATCTCTCCCTCTCTCCCTCTCCCTCTCCCTCTCCCTCTCCCTTGCCCTCTCCCTCCCCTACTCTCTCCATAAGATTCAGGAATGGATAGCTAAAGAAAATCATCGAGTATTCATAAGAATATACCTCTTTTTGGCGAGGCTTTTTAAGACCTGTATTTTAAATAAATCTGTATGTTTTCTTGTTTTGATCATTGTGAAATGTTTGGAAGCCTCTAGAAACAGATTTACTGGATTGGAATGTGTTTTTGTACAGTAAATATAAACAGCAGTAATAACTAATGAGCAATATACCAGGCTCTGAGTAAGCAGAAATAATAATAGCCATTATTATATATTATCTTTAATCATTATTTTAAAGAAACTCTATAATGTTCCATTAGCCCCATTTTACAGGTGAAGAGAATGTGGTTCAGGAACTTGATAAAGATGTCATATTGGGATGAAATAGGATCACTGTCTGAATCCAAATTCCTGGTGTTCACTACACTTGTCTCTCCTTTAAAAAAGACTTGGAGATTGTTTAATTTCCCATTCCCATCTCAAGTTTTCTCTGGGATAACTAAAGACCTATAATTATAATATATTATATCTTTTCTAACAAAAATAAATCTGTTGTCTGTGGAACAGGTTTCTAGTCTACCTGCTATGTTTGTTTTTCCAAATGTTTAA